GTAACAAACCAAAGTGTGGGCTCTGTCTCTGTCTCTTCTTTCCTCTGCCCCTCATTCCTTCCTTCCTTCTTTCCCTCCCTCCCTCCTTCCTTCTTGTTCTCACACTCAGAACTACATTTAAAAGGAAATAATTTTTAAAAATGAAAGATAGAGGCTTTACTAGCAAAAGGTCAGCTCCAATCCTTGGTTGATTTTACTTTGCCTATTGTTTTCACCAAGTACAGAAACATAATATTTCTATGTGAATTCTACAGTTGTAAAAATCCAATATAATTAAGAATATTTTTGTGGCTGTCTACAAAAGGATCTCAGTATATGACTTAGCTTCATACTATCTTTCTAAAACCAGTTGCAGTACTTCTCAGTATTTCATTGAATGTGAGGAGACATTTTAAATAAATTTCCAAGTTTTGAAACCAGATAGATTGTAGAATTTAAAATATTTCTCCTAATTTTCACTATGTCAAATCTAGAAATATTAGTGATTTCTAAAATGTATTTCTGCAAAACTCAATGTTGTTATTAATGACAACATTAGCTTCCCAGCATTTTGGCAAAAATCAAGTTCTCTCTCTCCCCCCTTACTTCAATTTACCACTAACAAGGTATATTCAAGGATTACTAAATATAATTATTCCATTAAACCTTATAATTGTATTTCTCAATGCAAAACATTAGGTGGAAGTTTTATATTTATTTTACTTAAAATTATTTTCTGTGTATCCATACAATATATTTTATACAACCATTTAAAAAGGAAGAAGTTTATCTTTGTTGTATAATGTGTGTGAATGTCTACCATCTTTGTGAAGTGAAAAAAAGTGCACATTGGAAAAAACAGTAAATACCAATTTTCTTCATGTATATGTATTTATGTAAAACTGCAGAAAGATATAAGATAAATATAAGTACTGGTTGTCTTTGGATGTTTATGATTCCAGCTGATTTTTATTTTCTTTGTTAATCTTTTAAAATGGCTTCTGGCAATGTGCAGATATTGATGTTGTCATTGGAAAAATGTATTAAATCACAACCAGTCTTTAATAGATAGACTCGAGCATGATGAAAATGATGGTGATAAAACAGATTGCTGTTCTGAAAGTCTCACAAAATTCTTTGTCTTTCATTAGATGGTAATTCCTAAAACTCATAAAATTTGAGTGAAAACCAAAAGGAGGAGTTTGGTTCTCCTGAAGGCAGGGCCTCTATGCTATACCCTCACTGGCGATTCCTCACTTCCCATCCAAAGTCCACTGACAATTGCTCCTCAGGTGGGGTGTCTCTTCCAGCAGAAATCCAGCTCTACTACAGTTTTTCTTTTTTTCCTAATTCTGATGCATAGAAACTTCACAAAAGACTTTGATTCCATGTCCAATCAGACAACAAGCCCCGCCTCCCCTTTCTTGTAATGTCCACCCCCCCATCACTCTCTTCACTGTAATCACTGCCAATAGTCAGACTCTCATCCTCTCGGGCCCAAATAAATATAAAACTCTCAACAGATGCTCTGCCTCCCTTTTCTCCCTTCTTTTATTCAGTCTACACACGTCAATTCAATTCATTCTTCTTTCTCAAATGTTACATTTAAATATATTTCTTTTTGTTGAAAATTCTATAATTATGTCTAATATAAGAAAAAGGTCTATCAGCTAAAATTCAAAGTCCTCCATATTCTAAGCTCACTGGTTGGACAATTTTTTTCAGCCCCAACCCCCCAGGGAAGTCTCTGTTCAATGATAGTAGACAAATCACTGAATTAACCTTTCATTTCAGTACTACCAAGTGCTGGTTCTGACTGTTTTCTCTGCCTTGGGTGACATACTCATGGATCCCACCAGACTCACTTTCATAAAATAAAGGCAGATTTAGGCTCCACCCTTCAGATGTTCCTGTCCCACTTGGTCCCTGGAGATCGGCCCTTTCCCAAGGTCTGTCCTGCCTACCCTTTCGTTTCTGTGCATTATGATACTCAGCTATGTTGGTGCATGAGAATGCTTTCTCTCCAGCAAACTGGTAAGTGCCAAAAGGACAAGAGGTGTGTTTTATCATTTATATTTTTAAATTACCTAGACCTGTGGTTCTTCATAATCTCTTAAGAGTTGACACTCAGTAAATATTTTTGATTTGCAAAAATATTAAACATTATGGTTTCTAAACAGTTTTGGAAGAGAAACTTAACACTACACATTGCTTTATAAATAAAGAACAGAGGAAAAGACAATTTAGTAACATCTGAGATAACTTCAATGAAAACCACTAAAGTAAGTTTACCATTTTGCTCAACTTCCTATTTCTGAAAATGCCTTTTTCTCATTGAGGCTAAGTGTTTCAATGGAGCATATAAAAAGTTTGTCCAAAACACACAATTATGGCTTGCCAGTAGCAGAAATAATGTGTGTCCCTGCTTCTCTTTGTAAATAATTGAATTTGCCTCTGAAGTTCAAGAAGTTCAAGATTTCTTTGTGTATGTGAAACTGACTGCTTCTGTTTTCTCTTTACATACAGCAGGCTATACTCTAAGACAGAAGAAATGGTGTGCAATTGGGATTTGGTGAGCAGGGAGGATAATAGAAGAGATTGACATGACTTCCATATAAGAGTTATTTTTAAGCTTAGAGAATGCCTATCCCCATGCTGAAAGGGCCTTTAGAAAATACTATTGGGATTGAAAGGCAGTGGAAGCAAAAATTTCCATCAGCAAGAGAGCTGTGCTGGTTGGTCTGCAGGGTGTTGCTGCCACCTGCTGCACGCAAATAGCTATGGAGGGGCTGTCACCTGGGTCTCGCAGCTGCAAGACACAGGTGCATTCAATTAAGATTCTGTAGGCATCTGAATTTTTTCCTCTCTTAGAGCCTAGGTGGGTCCCAAAGCAAAACTAGTCAAACCTGATAGTTCCAGGCTGCAGAGGTTTCTAGATATACGAACCATGAGCCAGGCCCTGAAAATAACCAAAGAAGACCAGATTGCCCAGCTGCCATCGAACAAGTGCTTTGGGTAGTTCAACCCAATGACAGGTAAGGATTCCATTAAAAGTGAGTCTGTAACTCTGGCAGGGGGAGGAGGGTGTGGAAATGGCGATTTTCTTTTTTTCTGAATTTTTGGTGTTTTATCTTTTTAAAATTTTTTGAACAGTTGCTTTAAAGCAATAAAAAAATAGGAAATGTGTTAGTATATCAAGAGAAGGAGGGTGTTGTTTTTAGAGAATTCAATAAATTCAGATTTTTATTGTTTTCCACCTAGGTAAATTCCTCTTAATATGACAAGTGGAGTGAGCTAACTAAGTTTCTGCCCAAGGCTTGTAATATCTTCCAATGTAACAGGGATGCCAAACTACAGATCAGGATCTTCTTACTGTATCCCTTGGACTGTTTCTGGCTCCACAGTCCACCATTGTAATTTACTGGAATTTCTAGGGGAATGAAGAAGGGAGATAAAGGCATCAAGAGCCGTGACTTTTCCCCCTCCTTTCAATCAAAGACTGACCTCCAGGACCCTCTCTGAAACATCCTCGTCATCACCGGTGACCTGAGCCTTGGTGGGGAGGTTGTGGGGAGGGGAGCCAGAGTAAATGTTCGGAGGGCCCTAAATTAGGGAATAGGTGACTCCATCTTCTGGCCTTTGCAGGAAACATCATTAGCTGAGTAGTAATGAGTAAATATGACTGTTGTCATGGCAAGTATTTGCAGTGATAGTGTACAGGGCAGTCTGGACATCCAGGAAGACATAAGCCCTGTTTCACTAATCTCTCTTCTCTCAGCTAAATTCTAATCTCCTCAGTGATAAGGATGATGCCTCGTGCCTTAGGGTCATGTGTGTTCCTTCCTACCACCAAGTCCTTGCGCTGGACAGGTCAGTATATACTTAATGACGTGATATGATGTCATGATACATGATGACATGAAATATGATGACTATCTGGTAGAAATTATCTCTAATAAAAAATTATGACCTCGGGAACAAAGCTCACCCTGCTTCTTTGTCTTCAGGCTTGCTGAGCACTGCCACAGGTAGCAGTGCAACCGTGAGACTGAGGTCACAGAATGTCTCACCAATTGCACATATATTTACTTATGCTTATTCTTTGTTCATTAAAATTGCACTGAGTCTTGAGGCTAATACTTGTTTTCTTGATGTTGGAAAGTGAAGATGAACTTTTTCATCCTAAGCTGGAAAACCATACAGTCGCATCTGTCAGGGGTACAGTCATCATGTCCCAGGAGTCACTTTCTCTAGTCCCCAGTCTCAGTCCTCTGCAAACGGAAGTGACTGGGCAGGTGTAACAGGCTTGGGGGCTGGTGGAGAAAACAGATTCTCTGTCTTTGGATTCTGATTGATTCAGCCTTTCTCTATATGGTTTTGGGCTGAGGCACAAGCTTTTCTGTCATCAGCACAATAGGCCTCCTGACCACAGAGTGAGAGACTTTCCTGCCTAATTTCTGGTCAATGCCAGACACTGGGTAGAAAAGGAGCCTTCACCTCTCCACCCTCCAGAAAATGAGGGTCTCCCTGCAAAAGAGGAGACAATGAAATTTGGTTTGATAGCTGATGCTCCCCTCAGTTATATTTCAGATTTTATTAAAGTTAAATGTGTAAATTTTTTGTTCTCTCACTCAAGAGTAATTCTGTAAAGAAATATATTTTTAAATTAAACAGAAAAATTATTATCAAAGACACATAGCTCAAAATTGTTAAATGACCTTGTGCTCTTGAAAAGAAGTATGTGAAAAGCACATTATGAACTTCTCTGTGTGACTGTATTTGGATTTTAGAAGCAGCTTGACTGACACAGAGATCCTGATGGGAAAACTCTTTGGATGCTGAAAAGTCTTTTAACAAACGTGAAACACAAGGTTTCAGAGAACAATTTCAACATTGTTCCGTTGAAGGTTATACTGAGCTCTGAACCACATTACTTTCCTGTCTACGTTTCATTTCCTGGGGTCTTGCCAAGTGATAAACAGACCTGGGCGTGTGGTAGATTTGGGGTTTTTCAGCACAAATAGGGTGGCTGGAGTTTGCTTAAAGGCATCAATTAACTTCTGTGATCACGATGAAAATGCTGGTGTAAGGCCTTCAGGAGACGATGGAGAAAAGATGGACATACTGTGCTGTCTATTCCATCATCCAGATACACTTTGTCAGGGGTAAGGCTTCCAGTTGTCCTTTCTTGTCAAATCAGCCACTTTAGGGGGTGGATGAGGCCTCTGTTCATGTAAAATGCCTGTGACTGATACTGAAATCCAGCATCAAAGGCAGGTGGTTACTAAGGCTTTCAGTTATGTATTTAAGTGGCAGCTATGGGAGAGCTGTTAGAGTCTAGAAGTGATTACTAACGAATGCTAAAACCAAGAAAGGAATGGGTGGTTTGTGCCACTGCTCAGGGACATTTTTACCCATTTCCTTCCTGAGAGGATCTCTGGAGTAACTGGGAAATTTTGTGTCTTAGAAATGAAATGGTCTCCAAATGATAGTCAGAACAACTCTGGAGTACTAAATACAAATAAATAAATCAATCACAAAGCCACCTATGCTCAGAGATCCTTGCTCAACTTTTTCTCTCTTTCAGCTATCCTTTTTTTCTTTGGTGTGTAATGAACGTTTCTCCTCCAAATGCTGTCTTTGGGAGTAGAACATATGTTGAATTTTAATGAGGCACATGTAGGTATAGACCTGGGAGGCATGCTGGAGTCCTTACGATGGTGGGAACCAGTGTCTAAAGGGCCTATTTAAAAATAGTGGGAAGAATGATTAGTTCTGTGTCCCACAGCATGAGGGTATTATAGTGGTCCTCGGTGTCTTAAGAATTAACAGTGCTTTTAAATAGAGCTACTAAGATTTTAAGGAGAATTTCTAAATCAAAGGAGACTTTGGAATATAATGCTGTGGATAGGATCAGAAACATATTGTGCAGCAAAGGGGAGCTCACAGGGAGCTACATTAAACTGTACTAACCTCTGCCTACCCATACTTCTGCATTCATAAAAGTGTAATAATTCCCATTTGCCAAGTACCTTTAAGAGGCTTGTTTCTTCTCAGTTGCTTGTCATCTTTTTATCTTTCCCTTTGTTAGTTTCTGTGGTACTTGTCACAATAATATATCATTTCTGTAAAAGTATTCCATGTTAATTCTAAAACTGAGGTCTGTACTATTGAGGGTATGTCAAAGACTCAATACTTAACATTTTTTAAATGCCTGTACTATTTGGTTGGAGCACTGATGGGAGTGAATCTTCTGTTATGTCTAGTATTTCAAGGCATTGATTATAGATGATGCTAACCAATGATTTATCTTTAGCTGAGGTATTTTGTCCTCTCCTCTCTTATGAACACTAACTACATGGGAATCAAGGCCCTCTCAAGTTCATGTATATTGAACATCAAGTTTCCTACCCATCTCAACAAATTTGGGAGATGTTTGGAGGTTAAGAGTTTATAGACAGAGTGCAGATTCTAGGCAGTCATATTCACGTTCTTTCACTGAGATGTGACTCTGAAAAAACCATTTAATCTGTGCCTCAGTTTCCTCCTTGAAAAAGAGTGTTAACAACTTCACTATTTGGTATCAGACAAGGATTAAATGAGACAGTATATGTAAAAGCCTCTTGAAAACATGTATTTTAAAAAATTTCTATACATAATAGTTTGTAGTTTTTTTGAAGTTTTAAAAAATACCACTTGAGTGTTAACACACAAGTGTGGATCCATAACCCCCAAAAAAGCCAATTGTATTAAATGTACAAATAGTTGCCATAGTAAGTTTGATGGTGAGTTTCAGTTTTAAAGTCTTAATATTTTTCACTGGTAGTCAGAGATCTTAAGTTATTTTTTTAAATAGATCAACTGACAAAGAAGTAAATATACAAAAGTCAGTCCATTCCTCTAGTGTCCTTGAGTAAATGCCTCCTCAGATGTATCAAAACTCATGCATCTCTCTCTCAGGGTCACACATAAGCTCTCTCCAACCCCTAAGGCAGCCAGGGAGAAAAGTCCTCTGCTGCTCACTCACTTCATCCAAGTTATCAAAGTTTATAATTAAGAGTCACTCCATGTGAATCATGCAAACTAATGTCCTTCCTTTTCAGGAGTATGGGAAGGAAAATTCAATGTAGGAGAAGACATTTATGCTTCACCTAGCTCTGATGTCAACCTGACCTGCCAAACACAGAAGAGAAACTTCTTGATACAAACACAATGGTCCAAGGAGGTGGACCTCATTGCTCTTTATCATCCCCAACATGGCTTCCATTGTGCCAATGGGATTTCCTGCAAGTCACTGGTGACTTTCGAAGAAATTCCTGGGGATGTGATAAAATGGACTCTGCACTTAAGGAACATGTCCTCCTCACTCAGTGGGAAATATGAGTGCAGCTTTATTCTGTACCCAGAAGGCATTCAGACTAAAATCTACAACCTTCTCATTCAGAAAAATGGTAAGCATAACAAATACGTGCCATATGCCAACCATGTGCTAGGCATGATACTAAGTACACAAGGCAGAACAAAAAGAGGTATTGCTTGTAAGGGATACAGAAACCGATCACATAATTCCACCAATAAATGTAAAATTGCAATAGTGATAAGTGATAAGAAGTGCAATGGTCTTGTGAGAGAGCATATAGTAGAGGTCAGAGAACTTCTCTCTGAGAAAGGAACATCTGAGCTGAGGTCTGAGGAAAGAGTAAACAGTAACTCCATTTCAGAGATGGGAGGTTAGTGAGGGATCCAGGGAGAGGCAAGAGCTTATATGAAAGGCTTCGTAGTGTTTGAGAAAATGGGAAAATGTCAGTGGGACTGTGGTGCAGAGATTAAGGGATGAAGTGTGAGATATGGTAAGGGCCAGATCATGCAAGACCTTCTTAGCTGTGTCTGAGGTTTTTATTTTTATCTAAGTGCCATTGCAAGACATGGAAATATTTTCAACAAAATGATGGGATGACATTTATAGCTTCATTGTATTTGTGTTAAAAAAATCTACCTGGATTTAGTATAAGAATGAAGTGAAGGTGGAAAAAATGGAGGCAAATTAAAGACAGTCCCAGTAGCCCAGAGAAGATAGTGTTGTTTGGGTAGATGTGGAAGGAAAAAGATAAATTTTATGTGTTGGGCATAAAAGAGATATGACTTGGTAGTATAGGACAATGGCGGTATGAGTGAAGGAGAGAGAAAAATTGAAGTTGATATCCAGGTGTCTGGCATGCACATTGGAATGGTGGTACCATTTGCTGAGACAGGAGGCAGAGGAGACAGAGCAAGTTCATGTGAGAATTCATGAAAATGGCTTTGGAGATATTTAGTACAATGTAGGTAAGGGTGCCAAAGAAGCTACTGGACATGTAGCATTCATACAAACATGCTTTGGACACCCACATTTGGAAGCATGAATCCTAGGTTTAAGTTCTAGTTCCTTTCTGGCTAGAAACAAATTTCTCCTGAGGTCTGTCATGTCAGTTCCCTGGGCCCATCTGGAAAATGACCATAATAACTCCCAACCTACAGTACTTAGTTCTAAAATAAATGATTTCCATTTCTCCTAATAAAAAAGAATAAAAACATTAGCCCCAAAAAATGGAAAATGCACTAGAAATGGAATGTTTTTAACTCAAAGCCAAGTGGCCTGGTAATATAAGAAAAAAAAAAAAAAACAATAACACATGAAGATTCTTTTAAGGGAGTCATAATGCTGCCCAGTGCAAGTAGGTGTTGATTTATTACCTCCTCTCCATTTCTTATCAAGAGACAAGAACATGGCCCTGACCAGATGGCTCAGTTGGTTAGAATGTCATCCCATGCACCAGAAATGTTGCCGGTTCAACATTGCTCTGTATACAGCATCATTTAGCTGCACAATATTGGAGTCAGGTAGCTCAGGCTCTGTCATTTCCATATACATAATCTTTGCCAAGTTATTTCAAGTCTCTAAACTTCCGTTTCCCTATATAACAAACATAATACATAATTATAGTACCTTCTTCATAGATACCATTATTTTGATGATTAAATGAAATAATCTATGTAAAGCACTTAGCACAGTTCCTATCAAAGGAGAAGAGTGTGGTAATGGCAGTTCTCATTAAGTGTAGTTATACAGTACTGAGTGAACTATTTTTCAGTTCTTATTAAAAATGAGTCCTCTTCCCTCTCTTTTTCATATTTGCCTAATTTGGAACCCAACAGGACATTCATTATATATCAGCACACGTACACATTGACCTTGGCTTAGACACAGATTGTGTACATTCCTCCTAGATCTGTGAACTATACTGTTGCATATCTGAGGACCTGATGTTTACTTCACTGAGACTGGCAACTTGGGTTGATGTGCTCTATAGGAACTAGAACACATATTCTATATGAAGTGGGATGTCTTCATCATGAGACAGAAATGAAGCAGAGGCAGTATGTTATCCAAAAAGAAGAGTTTCTTAAAACAAAGGACAACTCAAGGACCCAGTTGTAGCTACTAAAATCTGCAAATCAATGGAGAGACAGAGGCAGGTCTGTGTGCTATGTGGTTGCAGTCTTCTGATTATCATGTTGCATCAAATGAAAAGCAATGGCCTGGGTGTGAGGGAAACAGTTTGGTATTGTGTATTTGGGTACAAGGGGCGCAGACAAGAAACGAGCAAAGCACAAAGGAGAGAAAATTCTTCACTATGGACTGACCAAAAATGTAAGCCTGCCACAGAGCTAAGAGGTAGACACTTCACTCAGAGGAGGCGGCTGCCTTTCAAAAGCCGTGTCAAGTCTGCACGTGATGATACATCTTCACCCCCTTATCCTTTTGATCTTCTCTCACTTCTCTTACCGGTGCCATTTCCCTCTTACATCCCTGTGAGGTCTTCACATTTGCAAGTTAGTTGGGTAAGCAAAGCACATACAAAGCACAAACATTTATGATGTACAAAAACAAATGCAAATTGAAGTAGCATATAGAAATCTAAATAAGAAAATGCTGAGAGACCAGAGGCAGTTGGGACCTCTTCCTGTTTCCTTTCTGTGGTCATCTGAGCTGTTCTTTCCCCTTGTCTACTCACACGACAGGGTGTGTCTGACTCCTGAGTCCTGTTCCCTGAGGGCCCAGCTGAGAAGGATTTTGCTTTTCTTTTCACAGTATTTTCTTCCTGTGTATGAGTTAGTGCTCTGAAACTGGGGATGAGGGTAGAAAAACAATAAACAGTTTGGTGTTTGCTTCTTACAGGGTTTCCTCTTATGTTAGGAGCTTTCAAATTATTCCAAGAAAGTTCTCTAGGGTAAGCCTTGGGTTATTGTAATCTAGATTTTCTTAATTTGAATGTATCCCACAGTGCTTCAGATTATAAGATTTCCATGCACTTTCAAATCTATAGTTATTAGGATTCAGCATAAGAGTACAATGGAGCTTTAATTTCCCCGATTACAACAAAAGCCTCTGGGCACTCTCACCTTCAGTCACCATGCTATTCATTAGGTTCCAAACTTATTTATCTTATAACTGGAAGTTTGGATTTTTTATCACCTTTACTCATTTTCCCAATCCCCCAGTCCCTGCCTCTGGCAAACACCAATTTGTTCTCTGTATCTATAAGTTCAGTTTTATTTTATTTTTTAGATCCCACATTTGGGTGAGGTCATACAGGATTTCTCTCTCTCTGTCTTATTTATTTTTCTTAGCATAATGTCATCAAGTTCCCTCCATAACATCTCTAATAGCAAAATTTCCTTTTTATGACTGAATAACATTTTATTGCATATTAGAACTTTTTTCACTCTTTATCCATCATTGTTTCAATATCTTGGCTATTTTAAATAATGCTGAAATTATTATGTGGGTGCAGATATTTTTTGAGATGGTAATTTCATATCCTTTAGAATTATATCCAGAAATGAAATTGATTAATCACATGGTAGTTTTCTTTTTAATTTTTGAGAAATCTCCATGCTGTTTTCTATAGTGGCTATACCAATTTACATTCTCTTTTTAAAAAATTTTTTATTATATTTTCTCCATTACCCTTTAGTCCCCTTATACACCCTCCCTACCCTGCAATCACCACACTGTTGTCAAAGTACATGAGTCCTTTTTGCTCAATCCCTCTACCACTATTTTCCTTGTTAGTTTAGCTCATATGAGTAAAATCATAGGGTATTTGTCTTTCCCTAACTGACTTATTTCACTTAGCATAATGTTCTCCAGGTTCATCCATACTGTTGCAAAGGATAAAATTTTCTTCTTTTTTTATGTGTGAGTAGTATTACATTGTGTAAATGTCCCAGAGTTGTTTTATCCACTCATCTACTAATGAATACTTGGAGCTGCTTCCATATCTTGGCAGCTGTAAAAACTGCTACAATGAACATAGGGGTGCTTACATTATATGAATTAGTGTTTTGGGTCCCTTCAGATATATTCCTAGAAGTGGGATTGCTAAATCAAAAAGCAGATACATTTTTAATGTTCAGAGTAGCTGCACCAATTTGTGTTCCCATGAATAGTGCAAAACAGTTCCCCTTTCTCCAGATCCTTACTAGCAATTGTTGCTTGTTGATTTATCGATGATAACCATGCTGACAGATATGAGACAATATCTCATTTTGATTTTAATTTGCATTTCTCTGATGTTAGTGATGTTGAGAATCTTTTCATATGCCTATTGGCCATCTGTAAGTCCTCCTTGGAGAAGTGTCTATTCAGGTCCTTTGCCCATTTTTTAATGGGTTGCTTGTTTTTTGCTGTTGAATTTTATAAGTTCCTTATAAATTTTGGATATTAAACACTTATCAGATATAACATACAATCTTCTAAAACTATCAAGAAGAATCAGAGAATCTGAATAGACAGATTATACCTAATGAAATTGAAGTAGTAATCCAAAAACTCCCAACAATTAAAAGCCCTGGACCAGATGGCTTCACAGGTGAATTTTATCAAACATTCTGAGAATAACTAATACCTATTCTTCTCAAACTATTTTTAAAAATTTGAGAGGAAGGAAGTCTCCCAAATTCATTTTATAAGGCCAGCATTATTCTAATTTTGAAACCAGATAAAGATAGTACAAAGAAAAAAATTATAGGCCAATATCCCTGATGAACATAGACACTAAAATCCTCCACAAAATATTAGCAAACCAAATACACCAATACATCAAAAAGATCATACACTGTGATCATACAACACTAGCAAATGAATAAATGTGATTCACCACATAAACAAAATGAAAAATAAAAACTACATAATCATATCAATAGATGCAGAAAAAGCATTTAATAAATCCAGCACCCATTTATGATAAAAACTCTCAGCAAAGTGAGAATAGAAGGAACATACCTAAACATAATAAAGGCCACATAAGACAAACCCATTGCCAGCATCATACTCAATGGGCAAAAACTACAACCATTCCCCTTAAGTTTGGGAACAAGACAGGGATATCCACTTTTACCTCTTATT